CTGGAATTTAAAGTATTATTATTGTAGAAAACAGAAAAACTTAACATTGTCATGAGACAATCAATGTTATCATGAAAGAGAGCTTTCCACAAAACAAGGGTGTTCAAAGCCTATCAAAATCTGATGTGGAGTTTAAAATCTCGACAGTGAGTGTGATACGAAGCACTTAGCTATAAGAAGATTTAAATTAAGTAACTTCAGATTCTGAAGCAGTATTTTCACTAATTAATTACAGAATAATTCACTGAAAGTGTGTTCCAGACAGAAATGTAGGTGGTGCCACATGGTTAACAACCAACCTGACTTACCTGTAAACAAAAGGAGGAGACTTATGCTAGACAATTCCTTCAGCAACTCTCTATTGAAAGCAATTTCTTTTTGTAGGTGTTTGGGATGGCTTGTCCTGCTATAGTAGTTTTGATTGATGCAAAAGCACTGCCAGAAAGATGCATTTACCATCTGAGGAAGTAAATGCATCTGTGACCTGGCTGCATCAGATTTCCAGCAAATGTGTGTTTTATGATCTCACGAAGAGTGCTATGCCTAGATGTGTTTCACCAGCACAAATTCCTTCGTAACAGGAGTACTTTAAATATGTGAATATTTAAGCACAATAACAAACAAATGAGACTAATTTCAATTTTTCATGGAGATATGCCATTAGATCAGGAGAAGTTTGGACTGATGAGTGATACAGAATTTGTGTTTCAAACATTCCATGTATTATATATAAAAAGTAAAGTTATTTCATAGTTTTAAATCATGTTCGTCATTTATACAAAGAAGTTCCTGCATTCCTTAGAATGATCCACTTGGTTTGCATAGTGCTGTTTTGTTTTGCAAGGAACCCTGTCTCTTCCCTGATGCCCTTCTCTGAGTGTAGCACCACTGTATATTACAGTGGAAATAAGAGCATTCAAGAAAGAAGACAGAATGGTTCAGCATAGGAAGCTGAAAATTTTTCATTAAATTATAAAACTCTAATTATTTTTCATGAACTTCAGGTTATTTTTGACGCCTTTAAAAAGCGTGGTCCCAGTGATATTGCCTTGGATGACATTGGCCTGACAAAGGGAAAGTGTAATGAAAGTATTTACGTAGAGCCAACTGTGATTCCAACTGTTACTACTGTCCCTTCAGTTCCTAGTAAGTAAACACTAAATTACAGTTGATTGCCATTTCCTATTACTGTATTTGTGTACGAATGATTCAGAGTTTTCAACCTTTAGTTTTATAAAAATCTCTCTTTGGTATTAGAAAATTATCTTCAGGATAACATACTAGGCATCAGGTTCCCTGCCCGTGGCTCCATTGATAGCAACAGAACTGGTAGATTCACAGCTTAAGCTATCAGTGCAGTATCTTCCAAAACTTGAAGAGTGGAGGATAATTAAAGAATTCAGAATTTGTCTCTAAAAGCTTTAATTAGTAAAGCTTCCAGGAAGCCACTGAAAGGGAAGGAAGAAGAAAGAGAAGGAAGATTACAACCTCTATATTTGAAATCATAAACAATGTAGCAGGGGAATAAGAGAACGAGCAAGGTCACATAATAATATCACTAGAGGTCTCAATAGTAAAAATGCACCAAGCTCTGAGAACACATGCACACTGAAAACTCCCATATTTGGGGGAATGAATCTGTAATAGTGACAGAATGGTTTAAGAATGGAGCACAATCTACCTGAGTGTCTAATACCCAAAATGGAGGTATTATCTGGAACGAGGCTCACAATGAATGAGTTCTTTCCAATATGCATTTGGCTGTATTGTTATTCCTACCATATCTGATTATATTAAAAAAGAAAAAGAAAGTAATATTTGCTTTGGAAAAAAATTTAAATAACAGAAAGAACAGAAGGACAGTTAGAAGTTCTAGTTTTGGAGGAAATGAGTGGACAAAAAAACCAATCAAAGGACTCTTTCCACTTCCTGATCTAATGAGAGGTTTCAATATTTGCATAAATTATGGAATGTGTCAAAACCTAAACCTGATTTCTTCAATTTTGCCTTTGCTAACTCTACTCCTTGTGGTAAGGCAGGAGTGATGAATAGGTGCTTGCTCTAGTAATAATGGATGGGGCTTTTTTCCTGCTTGATATGGCCTCATCTCATTTCATCTCACTATCTTCTCGGCACCTCTTCTGAATCCCAAGTTCACTGGGAAACTGGAGGAGGATTGGTTTTGTTTGCACATTTTTGCCATCTTCTCCAAGTCAAGTAGAAGTTAATGAAACATGAAATGTCTCTACCTATAGTGCATATGCACTTCTCCAGACAGGTTGTACAGCTTGATCCAGACCCATCATATTGCAGAGTCTTTTAGAGGAAAGCACAGAGATTTAAGCTTCCTCAAAACATTCCAGTTTCACAGAGCTAGTTAGAAGAATCTCACTGAGAAAAATATGAAAAAATACCTGTAGCCATCATTATAATGCTGGAAAATGTATATAAAACAATGAAGAAAGATTACATATGACGTTAACCAGGTCCATGCACATTCAAAGCAAAAACTGGTACAAATATGAATAGACCTTGTGGCAAAAATCATTGAAATATCTGATAGGGCTTTGTAATTTATTGTGAGAGAGGCATGAACTTTTTGGAAAAAAAGAGATTTCTACAAAAGACCTATTCACAGGTGGTTTCAAATCATTAAGACGAACAGTGAGTATGTTCCAGGACTGCCTCCTATTAGATTTACTGTCACTTACAAAGCACAGCTAGTTGCTCTCTTGACAGCATATAGTAAATAAAAATGGTCTAAAATAAAAATAATAGGTACTGTTTGCATTGTATTCATGTTGAAGCACTGTGTACTAATATTGTCATTCTATCAAATCTATCACCTCTAAATCTACTGCATCAGGACAGGTAAGAAAACAAAACCTTCTAAATATAAGAGCAAAATGCAGTTTTAGAGCTCCATCCTGAGCCACAGGGAGGTAAAGTTCAACAAGATGTCTCTGTCAGCAAAATTAAATTTTAATAACACTAGTAATTTCAGTCATAATTTACCAAAGTGAGTTTTGGAATTTGATTGCAGTTTTCATTAAAGTAATACTGTGGAGAGGTGCTGATGTCTGCCACCTCCAGCCATCTTTCAGGTGCTGTGGGTAAACACACCTCACAAGTTAGCATCAGTCTAATGATTAGTGGTAGAATGACCCTGTGGTAAATAGTAGCTGAGTGCTGCTGTCAAAACACCAAAGAAATGTCATTCAAATTATAGATGTCTACCCAAAATATGGTGATAAAGTTTTAATATTAAAAAAAAAGGAAGTGGTCATGTGGCATATAACTCCTTATGAAACAGATTAGAGAGGATCCATACTGTCCTTCAATATGATACAAAAGCACAGGCTAAGCTGTTGCTGGGGAAAAACTAACTTGTTTGCATAACTTTGTTGAGACATGCTACGTATATGCTATCTGTAACCTGCTGGAAAAAAAGTGAATGTTATCAATCATCTTCAAAGACGTATGAAATTACTTTGATGGGTGTGGTGCAAGCTTACTAACACTAATGGTTTCACTAGAAATGTCATGTCTATAAACAAGAGATGAAAGAATTTGAGCTGAGCCAATTTCTTTTGCTAGGCTTAGAGCTTCAGTAAGAGGCACTGGCATCATTCACAGTGCCACAAAAGCTCATTGAAAAGTCAAAAAAATATTTTGGTGGTGGGATAGGGAAGCTGGATTTGCTTTTGTCTTTTACACAAGACTGTCAGCCTACACTTTCATCTAAAACAAAGATTGCTTTCATCTTCATATTCATTTACAACCTGTCTTTTAACACAAACAACAGTGTGGAAATTACAGTGTAGATTCCACACTTTAGATGTGTATGTCAATATAAATTAAAGTTTTGGCCAAAGCACAGAGGAATTTTTTCATGAATAGGTCATACATCATTTTCTACAGTGTTGAGAAAATCGTCTGTTACGCTCAATGAAAGGACCAAGATTATTGGTGCTGATTGCTCTTTGGTTCTCTAACGAGTGACAGCTATACGAATAACTCCATATAAATTTGTGTTTAAAGATCACTGGAAACTTTTAAAACATTTTTTCCAGACATGAGTAAAATCAATTACTTCTATCATTTTTCCATGCAAGAGAAAGAAGATCATTACTAATGTGTCTTACATGTAGTCAACACCAGATCAGATTTCATCATAAGTTGCCCCTGTTCTGCTATTAAGAAAGCTGGGTTTGCTCTGCTCATATCATCAGATGATACTTGCTAAGGATGATATATTCTTCATGCAGCTTTACAATAGTTGTGTGTCTGTTTGTACGTGCAGTAATGTTCCATAAAAAAAGCCAGTGTAATCTTTATTTGTTGTTAATAGCATTTACAGAAAGCAGTCCTCGTTGTGAGCCGTAGGGCTGAAACATAATATACTTGTTAGTAAGTGTGTGATTGTTAGCAGTGCCTTTTGCTTTCAGAGAGTTCAGCTTTTCTTGCCAGGAGTGATTTGGTGAAATAGAAAGTTCTATAAGATGGCTGTCATGAGAAAGTTCAAATCTTTCTTGTACTTAGTAGAGCTTCCTCCCAGTGGGATTCAATGGGCAAACTCAGTAGGACTTGTAGATTATGCAGTCCCCAACCAAGTGGCTCAGACTATGCGATACTGACAGACATAATGAAACACAAAATTTAAGCCATAAGGGGTGGGGTGGGGGAGTGTTAAAGTTTAGCTGAAGTCTGAAAGTTAAAAAAATCAATTTTAATTCAAAGAAAACAACAACAACAGAGCAAAATAAAAAAGGTAGGTTTCTTCTGCCTTCTATTTCCTCAAGTAGGTGGAGGAGCACTGCTTATTTTTGAATAAAGTAATTGCGAACAGCAGAAGTGGGAAAACACCCAAGTTCATTCTGATAGTACAACTGAAATGAAAATAAATAACATTTCTCAATATGAAGTAAAGATTTGGAATATGAAGCTGACATATTTTGGATATAAACCACCATCTAAAACTATAAAATGAAAGAGAATATTGAATATATAAAGTACAGCTAGCTATGTCTATGCGTGTGAGTGCGTGTATGTGTGTATATACATATCTACAATATTTGCTTTTAAATAAATTTTATTCATTTTTATATATAAGTGCATATACATGTTTATGATAAAGACCTTTCTTTTTGGAGCAGTTGTTTCAAGGAAAAAGCAGTTGGCTACTTTTACCATTTGCAAGGCTTAACTGTAAAAGTTTTTAGGGTCCTGATGAAATCAAAATAACAGTGTAAGGGTTTTTTTGCTATAAAGTTTATTTGCTAGATGACAAAATGGGCTTTATACTTGAGTATCTCTGCTAATGCTGCAAGAAGATCAATCGGATAATAAGCAAGGCATACAAGCTAAATGGATAAATAGGTTATATTGGGGGGGGCTTTCCTCTCTGACATTTCCTAGCTTTTGTATTAATGTACTAGTAAATTATGCAGTTGACTGTATCACATTCTTTTCTCCATATTTTCTGTCATGTGCACAGCTTGCAGACCAATAATCACCAAATGAAGGGCAGACTGTGTCCTTCCCCTAACTACATGGGGAAGACTTCTCATAGCACCATCATGAATACAGTTGTGCACCTGGGCACTAGCACTTCACAAACAGTAATATATGAACTATAGCTGTAGGTAACACTATGGCATCGATTGTATATGTCAGCAGGTCTGACTTAGACACTGTAACTAATAAGGACAGTGAATTTCTTACACACCTTGTTTCCTCAATGCTCTGTGTCCTTACCAGAGTGTTGGCTTCTCACAGCTCGTTGTTCAAGCTTTATACCAATGGCACCGTGACTGAACCCTTACGGTGATGAAGTTAGCTTGAATATCCTCTTAATAAAATTACTTCTTCCAAATTATCTTTGTTACAACATATTGCAAAAGTAAGACAATAGGTTAATTATGTTTTTGAAATGTTTTCTTTTTCAGCTGACTGTGGAGGGCCAGCTGAACTCTGGGAGCCAAACAGTACATTCAGCTCTGAAAACTTTCCAAACAATTACCCTAATCGAGCTTTTTGTAAGTTATTCTTCTCCAAGTCTTCAGGAAAAGTTTAGCCATATAAAAGTAGAAACACTAAATCTCCTTTCCCAAGTCAGATGCTGTCAAGCAAAAAAGATCTAAGCTATATACAGTGGGATCTTTTAACTGAAGTCTATTTGGCATTTAGCAGAAGCTAAGGAATCATGTGCCAGTTGACTAAAAAGTGATGAAGACAAGCGTAATCCCTTGGAATGTGTTCAGACAGGCCAATTCCATCATGCCTATTATGTCAAATATCTTTATGTCAATGCAACAACAGACAAGCTGCTGAAAGTCCCCATTTTACCATTACACCTCAATATATTTGCCAGGTTAATATCATCATCTCTTCTGTTAAATAGTTAACTTTTTCTAGGGGCAAAGAATATATGTATGCATTTTACAAGGGAACCTCTCTTTATTGAATGTTTCTTAACATACTAGTGAAAAGACATCATTATTCTGATGTATTATGATATTGATTTAGATTAAGCTACAGCTGGCAAAAGTGAAAATGTTTCAAGGTGGTCGACTATGTGCTGTTGATGGATGAAGCAAGGAAGAGAACTTTGTCATTGCTTCTTAATGAAATTTTAATTATTTATTACTTCACCTTTAACTGGAGAATTGTGTTGGGATGCTCATCACAAGAGTTGTAATTTTGTGTTTCTGTCCCACTTGAGATATGGCTCTCATTTCCAGGTATTAATTTCACAAGTTCCCAAATGAGATTCCTACTAGTGAGAAAATACTTTTCATTCTATGAACAGATTAAAAAACAGTTGTTTGGGTTTTTTTTTACTTTCTTTACAAGATTTCCATAGTATCCACACTTACATAGATTAAATATGATAAAGCACAGGCTAAACAGAAGCAAATACTTCTCTAAAACAACATCTAACTTGAAAGGCAGGCTTCTGTGACTGATTATAGAAATTATCTTACTATCAAATAAGACTAAAGTGACACAAGACTATCTGTGACATTTTCACAGTTACAAAAGAATTATCTTTCCTGCTTTAGGGAAACTCATAGTTGTCATGAGTGGTAAAAAATGCACGTGTGTATATCTAGGGGCCTAAATCCAGTTTTCAAAAGTGTTTTAGAGAATGAGAGTCAATTGAATTTTGGATCTTGACAGCATAAGTTGCTTTTAAAGATAAGATTTAGACTTCTAAGTCTCTTGGGTGATTCTTAATAGTTTAGCAGAGATTTTTTTTCCCCAAAAATCCTTCAACGTGAAAATGACACAGTAAATGTAACAACTGAAAAGGTGATTTTTGTGTGTGTGTTATTATTTTCTAGGTGTGTGGTACTTACATGCTGAAAAGGGGAAAAACATTCAACTTCATTTTCAGGTTTTTGATCTGGAAAATATTCATGATGTAGTTGAAGTCAGAGATGGCAGAGGACCAAATTCCTTACTGTTGGGCAAGTAACAGCATTGGGTACTAAAATGAATGTAATCAGACAGCTGGAGCAAACTGATGGGTATAATATAAAGGAAATTAATTCTCCTTAATTTCATTCTACATTTCTTCACATTTTTGGGTCTCAGAAATTAGGAGGAAAACTTGAGAAAGCATACTGTATGTGACATCACATTTCCCAAGTGTTTGCACACACTCAGCTTTCTATGCAATCCAAATGAAATTAACTTCTCCATAAATAAGACTGCTCATGTATGCGGACAAACAGAAGCATAATCTCTTAGTCGAACTTTTTTTTTCTATACTGATGTGTCAAATTTGGGGTTGAGCTTTGATCATTGCAGTCTGATAGGAGTGAGGTTTAGGGGAATAACTGTATTCATGTGGTAGCAGTACTTGCTTTTGAACCCAAAGCATTTTGAAATACATAAGAACAAAATAGCTTAAAGGTATTCATGTTCTCCTGGAGAATAGCTGTCTATACAGGACAAGACCCATTGCCAGATGTCTTCTCTACAACAAACCAGATGACAGTAATCCTCCTTACGGACAAATCTGCAACAAAGAAGGGATTTCTTGCAAACTTTACTACTGGCTACCATCTAGGTAAGCATGTGAACCCTCGTATTTAAGAGGTTATACCACTGGTCAAATACATTTGAGAAAAAGTAGAGAGTGGAAGGTGACTCTCAGCCCTTGATCAACAGAAATATGAAAAAGTTAAAGAGAAAAAGCCTAGTGGTTACCCATCTGTACTTTATGTTTTCTAGCATGAAAAGTGACATTTTTGTTGCTTTAGTGTAATTGGACCCATGTCTGTATCATCTGCAACTCTGTGTGATATTATGTGAAAAACTGACTCAGTATTTTGACCAAAAACTATTCAAATGTTAAGAGGGCAAATATGAACTACTCCCTATACAAGCCCCCAAAAAGAACATGACTTTGTGACTCATTTGAGGGTGTCATTAATGTGTGCTTAAATGCATTTGTAAAATATTTATTATCGATCACAGCCACTAGAAGAGAAAAATGTATATGGTAACTCTGATTAATGTTTGCAATATGGTACTTGTTGCATCTTCAAAAATTTGGTCCTTAGTGTATGAAGGATCTGGGAAGAGCTAGTCTTTTAAATATTTGGACAGCAGTGTTTCTGGTCCCAGCCAGTCCCCCTCTGAAAGACTCCTGGTTTTGTTGAGGACTGCAATTAGATTTGTCACTCATCTAAGTAATTCAGCAATCAGCTCTCCAGAAATGGAGCCAAATGCTAAAGTACATGGAACAGCAATATGCTTACCAGGACAAATACTTACACTAACTCTTGGCCAAATCTTGACAGAATTAATTAGAGGCTTTGTATTACTTCTGTGGAAGTCTGACAGCAGAAAAAAGAGAAAGAAAAAGCAGTATGTATTAAGAGATATGTGAAGTACCATTCATTTGCATGGACAGAAAGTCAACAAGAATCTACACTTTTTTTCTTACTTTAAATATCATAAAAGGCAAGTGTCTCCCAGCATGTTTAACTAGCTGCAGCTTTTTTATAGATTAACAGTAATAATAATGCTAATTTTCATAATATTTTTAAAAATCTTAGCCATTGATTTATCTTTGTAAAATCAACTCCATTTAGTCCCGTTGTGCAGGACTGAAAGGTAGGTTTATATGGACATATGACCGTTTTGCTGCTTCTTGTTCTGCCTTCTCTATCACATTTGTTCAGTCCAACAAGACTATGCCTTTTTTTTTTAGCTGGTTCAGCACCTTTGCTAAGCCAGCTTTGCCCATATTTTGTTGTAAAATAAAAACTAAGCATAGCAAGGCAGAGTTCTCAAAGTGTCCATTGCCAGTTTTGGTTAAATATATTAAAAAGGTTCCATTTGCAAAAGAATTATGCTTATTCATGATCTTTGCAGCCAAAGGACAGAGACTAATATCATTAGCATGCAGGCCCAAGGATAAAAGGATTGTCAGTGAATAAATTTTTACAACAAAGGCAGATTTTCCTTTGCATTTTATTTTTCCATTAAATATTGAGTTTTTGAAAAGGAAGCATAATTTGAAAAGAGATACTTTTTGGCAGCATGCAATATAATAAAAAACCTGTCTAAGTGAGAACTAAGTTCTATGGAAAATCTAGCATCAGTTATGGCCACTGAATTTGTGAAAATCTGGTTCAGGCCTTTTATAAACCATATTCTTTTGCTTCCATATTGTACAACAGGCCATACTGACTGATGAATGAATAATTTTATATTAATATTAAAAATTCAGAAGCAAAGCAATTATCTAGACTTAAATAAGACTTCTAGATAATTAAATGTTTCAGTCAGTAAGTCCAGGAAGGTAAAATAAAGAAAATAATTTTTCAATAGAATTTAAGTTTATGACTGTATATTTCCTGTAAATATATATTAAATGGTGCCATTAAAAATACACTTTGGCCATAGAAAGAATTATAACTTTATATTTACTCTCTATCTGATGTGCTTTTGTTACATAACTGATGCTGAAGTAGCTTAATCCTACTTTTGTGAATGCTTTCCTCATTCATTTCTGTTACTTTTGTCTCTTCCACCTTTCCTCCCAGACAGGTTTCAAAAAGAGACTCTTGTCTTTCAATGCCTCTTTACTTGTATGTTTGACTTGACATACTTTAAGGTCTCTAAACTTTCGTGAAAGTGCTGAACGTCTGGAACCTGAAATCGTTAGTCACTTTTGACAGTATTTGATCAGGGTTTGACTTTTCTCATCCCTCCAAAGTTTGTTACACGTAACAGAATAACACTAGTAACTGAGCAATGCTAACTATAGCAGAAACTACAAGGTATAATACCATAGATTTTATTCTTAATTAGCTGCTTTGGTGGATGAAAAGCTGGACATGAGCCAGCAATGTGCGCTCGCAGCCCAGAAGGCCAATCGTATCCTGGGCTGCATCCAAGGAAGCGTGGCCAGCAGGTCGAGGGAGGTGATTCTGCCCCTCTGCTCTGCTCTGGTGAGACCCCACCTGGATGGAGTACTGCGTCCAGCTCTGGATGCCTCAGCATAAGAAAGACATGGACCTGTTGGAGTGGGTCCAGAAGAGGGCCACGAAAAAATTATCAGGGGGATGGAACACCTCTCTTATGAAGAAAGGCTGAGAGAGTTGGGGTTGTTCAGCCTGGAGAGGAGAAGGCTCAGGGGAGACCTTATTGCGGCCTTTCAGTACTTAAAGGGGGCTTATAAGAAAGATGGGGACAAACTTTTTAGCGGAGTCTGTTGCGACAGGACAAGGGGTAATCATTTTAAACTAAGAGAGGGTAGATTCAGACTAGATATAAGGAAGAAATTTTTTACGCTGAGGGTGGTGAAGCACTGGAACAGGTTGCCCAGAGAGGTGGTGGATGCCCCATCCCTGGAAACGTTCCAGGTCAGGTTGGACGGGGCTCTGAGCCACCTGATCTAGTTGAAGGTGTCCCTGCTCATTGCAGGGGGGTTGGACTAGATGACCTTTAAAGGTCCCTTCCAACCCAAACTATTTTATGATTCTATGATTCTATTTATCTGAAAATAATCTTTATTTTGAAAAATAGATGGATAGGAAAGGAAAAAGGAAATCAAGTTTCTGTGTACTATCCACTCAATTTTTCTTTCAGGTGAACTGTATGATCTCCAGTGAACATCAACTTTCCTCATAATTATGGATTAATTATCCTTTCCTGTTTTCCTTCAGGGGCTTGTGCAATCGACGAGCATCAGTGTGGTAGTGGGGATTGTATACCATCGCATAACCTTTGTGACAACCTACCTCAGTGTGAAGATGGCTCTGATGAAGCAAAGTGCAGTAAGGTTTCCTTCGTACAAAGAGAAGGAATGCATGCATATTTGGTGGGAATTACCTAGGAAAATAGCCACAAAACCTCAGCTAGCGTAAATTACTGCAGCTGCATGCAGGCCGTGCCAATTTACACAGCAGTATCACGCTGAGTTTGTCAGGGCCAAAAAAACAAAGTCACTTTTCTGAGATAGTGTATGTAAGCTGGTGAAGATCTCTGGAAAAGGTAGGAAGTTCTGTGCTTAAAACTGTGGCTGCTTATAATGGCCTAAAAATTAAATGAAAACTCATCACCTGCTTTCCTTCTGTATCCATTTTGTATTCCCAAGTTCTATCAGTTTTGCTGTAATTAATTTGAGTTTCACAGCAGTATAAATTCTGCAGTGTAGGGTAGAGAAAAAGAGTCTTCTTGATGGAAGTTCCCAGATAGTCTTATGGGTGTGAAGCCAAACTGCAGCACGTGGCATGCTCCAGCCTGCCTGGACTCCATCTTGTGGAGGCATTGCCATAGGGTGAAGGGATGGCACAGCTGCAAAAGCAGCATCCATTGCTCATAGTGGATGTGCACGTTCCTACAACAAGGAGACCAACAGCTGCTATTGCTTAGTCCTCTGGTAAAAGGATTCTTTCCAAAATGTAGGTGTACAGTATATGGCTTCATTTCACATAACATGGAAATAGCATTCTCTAAACAATAATTTAAATGTAAAACTGATGTGAAAATCATGTTGGGCCCAGCACAGAAATTAAATCGCTGTTTCTGACAAAGTGCTGTTCTGACAATCTATTATGGAGCACTAATGGAAGAGTTAAAAGCAGGCTTTTAAGCTCAGTACAACACCATCTTCCTTTGTTTTAAAGAGGACTGCTGTGGATCAGATACGTCCTTGGATGTGTGCTGACAGTTCTCATAGATACCAATGTCTTTTACATACATGTGTATGTATATATATATTCATATATATGGCATATATAAATATATGTATACATATGGCATATATAAATATATGTATACATATATATGTATGTCTGAAGGCATGGATTCACGCTGCATTAGCGCAGTTAGCTATTTTGTTGCAAACATATTCTTCCTTTAAAATGCATAGAATAAGATTCACTTCAGCTTCTTCTTAAGCAAAGAGGACTTGAATGTTTTTTTCCAGCCATTGCTAAAGAAGATCTGAAAAAGGTAACCATCACCTACATTAACGTGATGTACATTTTCCCAAAGATTTATTTTGCCCTAGATTGTCTATTACTTCATAACAAATTACCTCACATTAAAGGACTGGGAAAATTGTTTCCAAAAACCCATTTAATCCAAACATTGGCTAAATCAATCTAAGCCTTAAAATAAAATGAAAATTCAATTAGACATCCTCACATTGAGTCTTTTCAGTGTCCAAAAGTCTTGCTCATTTTCCTGAAACCAATTTAAATTTCTTATCAGAAGTGGCAATTTGAACTAGACGAACTGTCATTTTCAAATACTCCAACTTCTGAAACTTTCCAGGGACTGCAAAGAAAAGGCATAGGATACCTCTGCCTTTGCAGAATTCTAAAATATATGACATTTGAATTAAGCAGTTGTTGAGTGCTCAATGACTCTCTTATTCCTTACCAACAATGTATTTGGAGAACATGGATCTGATGAGGAGAAAGGAAAAGGAATTATAGTTCAAGTAGAAGAGAGGAGAGGTGTCAAAAGTAATGTGGAGAAATCTCACATTGCAAACAATTCTGAGATTTTTCAAGACTGCTCAAAAATTTCTCATGACTAAGGTTTACCATTAATTAATCACTGTATATTACTTCTTTCGTTCATGCACTCTGGGTCCTAAAAATCTAATTTTTTTTTTACTATAATGGGTACACTTTACTTTTTTTGTGGAAATATTTTGGTGGAAAAAGGTTTTCTGGACAACTAAGATTTTTTAAAAAAATTATTTTGGCAACCAGTAAATTTCAAATGCATTGTATGTTTTTCCCTACTTCATGCTGGCAATAACTGTCATCTGCCTGAAATGCAGCTGTAGCTCCTGAGACATATATCGGATATATTGACCTTCTTAAACCTCATGGTCCAACTTCCTTAGTCACTATGCCAATAGCATAAGATTTTTCACCAAATGCTTAATGAGTTTTTGAATTTTTGTTCTGAGTATTTTGTTTTGGGAAAAGTTTTGATAGAAAGATTTGTTTTCAGGGAGCTTTTATTATTTGTGTGTGTGTGTGTTTTAACTAAAGCTGCAATGAAAACAGTGAAAATTCTCATAGCAATTGGAACTGGAAAATACAACTTTTCTGTCAGCTCTCGTTTTAACTTTATTTCCAATCAGTGTTACTGAGCATCATGTAGGTAAAGCTTCACACAGTATCTGGAAGTTACATAATGCTGGCTTAGAAAAAACATCAGTTAGAGTTGATGGAAAATGTACTGTTTATTGTCTATTCATGAGACATTTGCAAAATACGGTGTATGAAACTCTCCTGTGGCAGAAATACAGAAGGAGATAACAATAACATTACCTTCCTGTGGGAACACAACATCCTGGAGATGCTGGGTTTATTACCACTGTAATGTATTTTAATGTTTTTTTGTTCTTTGCTGGCAATAATAAATCTGTGTATATGACATTTCTGTTTGCTTAGGGTGGGGGGGAGGGTGGTTTACCACCTATCTAAAATGCTTCTGTCCATTTTGGTCTACAGTGAGATTGCTTAATGGTTCTTTAAGCACCGAAGGTCTGGTACAGGCCAGAATTGGGAAGACGTGGCACCTGGCATGTGCAGATGATTGGAATGAACAGATTTCAGACAGTATTTGCCAGCGGCTGGGGTTAGGGTGAGTGAAAAATATTCATTGTCCTTGTAACTTGTTTGCAGGTTTGTTGAACCTGTATATTGGTGTTTTCCTCATCATTTTACTAGTGTCTTTACCATCCAAAAAAAGGGAAAATGTATTTTTCTGTGGCAAATGAAGTGCTTGGTGTGTCAAGAAATTTGTAAGTGTTGCAAACCCTTTTTTGATGGCATTCATTACAGGATTGATGACTGAATATGGCAGATTAGGCATGAGGATACATATTGGAGAACATTGGGAGACTGATGTGGTGGTATTAGTCTTTTATCACTTCATGTCATCATTTACGTCTTCACTTTTATGAGGATGGCTCAAGAATAAAGCTGGAGCAAACAGCAGCCTTGGCTGTTCTGCTATCATAGTAATGTTCATTTCAAGTAAATTCAAGATAATCACTTGGGTATTCTGCTATTGGGCTCCCAATACATTTCATACCTATCATTAGACCTGAGCTGTTGGGAGAGGAAACTATTTCTCTTGAGGTACACTTAGAGGGGGGAGGGAGGAGGGAAGTATATGACTGAAAAAATAGATTTGGCTTCAGTCACTGTTCAGCAGAATTTCCAGGGAAAAGGTGGGGAGGGTTGAGTGCAGAAGTAATATATGGTAAAATACATGGCCTAAATTCTGGCCTTACTTACGCTGTATGCAACTTCACTGCCATCCACTGAATAATAAATAGCTTTCTTGCAGTGCTGAGGTTTTTAGGGAATGTCACTCATCCAAGCAATAATCAAATTAAATTCTAAGCTTGCAATTCATAATGTTGGTCTCTGACCAAAGTAGGATGCCTGCAAATGCCCTTCTGATAAATTAATTATAGAAATCACAGTTAGGAGGACTTAGAAAAATATCAAAGTGTTATTTGAAAATACTTTTAATCATTGGATGAATGTATGCTGGTTTGTTTTTTTTTACTTTTTTTCCGTTGGGTAGGTACTGCATTTACATAAATATCAGATACCTGCGCGCACAAATCCTGACTGTAATTTATGTATGTGGTTATCTCATTTACGCATGCATATAAGAACATACAAACTATGACTAAATGTTCTTCTAGTCAAATACCTTGTCCTTTACAGTGGCCAGTAGCCTTCTTTCTCTGACTCTTTCTCTCCCTCCCTTGCCTCCTTTCCCTCTATAACTTCTGGACACTAGTCATTTTGTGGTCTATTGGTTTAATTTACATTTTTATATTTGATATGCTTCAGTGAACTTTGTCTTCCATGGTACTTTCTATTACCTTTTAAAAATTACTTAGTTTTTTGTCTCCATAACATTCTGTGGCAATACATTTCAGTTTGTCTCTATAAACTAGTCAGATATACTTGCTAAAAAAATTCCTATTAAGTTTCCTAGTTACTTCTTTTTAATTCCATTTCTCAGTTTATTACATATTCCCATTGTCAAGAAAAAGGATTTATAAACCTAAGTTGCATCACATTTTCATATCCTGGGTGCTATTGCTGTTACTGATCCTACAGAATAGGATAAAATTCTCACATATACACATATATAGAACTCCTGTAGGCATCACACTATTTCTGCCTTCCATGAATCCCCCTGTAGCAGCATATTTGTTAATAAGTGGCACCATATTTGTTACTAAATGGATGTTTGTAATAACAGGTCTTGAGTAGGCTATAGCTCATGTTCCTATGCAGAATAATTACCTAGAATCATGCTTTATTAGAGAAAGAGGCTAAGGTTCATCTAGGACAATTTACTTTTGTTGTTAATTGCTTATACATTTGCTAGTCTCATTTACTGTTTAATATATGAAAAGGACTGAAATGATAAGAGTCCTGTAGCATATCCTAATTATTTATGTAGCTGGGCTAGAAAGTGCAATGTTCCACGCAGATTCTAATAAATCACACATGTGAATCCTTTTGCCTCCATTTTTCAAATATGTCACTGTTGCATTTATGATACGTGCCAAAGAGGAAGCAAATCTGGAGGCATGCCTATGTGTTCATCCACAAAATATAGCTTAGGCAAATCATTTACAAATGTTCTTTATGAGTCTGGAGTGCAAGGTGCACAAATTGATGCTCTTGAGAAACAAGATCTTCTGCTCAGCTTGCACTTGTAACTGTGTGCATCTGACAACACTGTTAAAATCTCAGTATTGTTAGCATCGCTTTTCCTTGAACCAACAAAATCATACATTGAGCTTTTCACCATTCTACTGGTCTGGTGTGAAACATGCTTGTTTCTCTGGGACCAGAGCCAGCTGGGTCTTTACTGAATTGTACCCAGGAATGGGGGTAGACCTTGCAATTTTGCCATACCCAAAAGTCCAACAAGGACTGAGAGTTTAGGACTTGCTCCCAACCCTGCAGTCTATTTTCTTCATGAACTCACAAAATTCTTGAGAAGGAAATGAGTTCATTGGAATACAATGTCTTGTTTGAGATTTCCAGGTCAATTAGGTTTTCATCCTCCCCACTCACGAATGGTCAGTAGCAGCTACATGCCTAGCTCCTTGAGACACCTCAGAAAATCCTGTCTTCGACTGTCAGACCCAGTGTGCTGAGAATGTAACATATGGCCTGAAAGGGGTGGAAATGAACCCCCAAAATTTATGCACAAAAAGTTTTTATTCAGATGGATAAATTAGGATAATAAACGGATAGCATGATCTTACTCTGCGGTAGAGCCAATGAGAGTCATGTGCTGGATGTAAGAAAGAACCTGGTTCTCAGTGTGTTCAGGCCAAGTTTGCAGCACTGAGGACCAGAATTAGGACAGTCCTAATAATTTGGCGATAGACTTAATTTCATGTGAGTTGTCACCAAGCAATAATGTGCACTTTGACCTGAAGCCACAGGAGGAGTCTCAATGATTTTTTTGGATTTGTAGATCCATAGCTTCACTTAGGATCCGACACTGCTAGTAGGCTTGGCTTAAACCCATTGCTTAAGAAGCTTCATTTCAAATCCAGAAAGTATAGAGAGGTTACTTTTATTTATCATTTGCAGATTTTCATATAAAAAATTGTGTGCACGCAAGCATTTAGAAAACAGCAGCTCTTCATATGAATCCACATGCGAACAAAGCTTTTTTATGCCAAAGAAAGTGTTCGCTATTTGTGATTTGCTACTATTCTTGTTTGTTTTTCTAACTGTCAGAAAATCAGTGGATGAAACAGAAACACTGCCCTGTGTCTCAAACACAAATTAAACAAACTGCAAACATCCCACAGCCTGAGAACTAAACAATGAATTACAGAATGTGTGAACTTACTTTCTTCAAATAAGAAAGGTGCTGGGTTTTTTTTAACAGAGAAAAGAATTGTAACTATCAGACAATTGCACTTCTATTCTTATTCTGAATATTTTTTTCAGCATGGTACCACATCATCTGAATATTTCCCAGCATTTGCTACTGCTTATTGTTACTGAGCACATCTGAGACAGAGTTAGAGACTGAAATCATAGTGATCCATAGAGTATTTAGGTACATGAGGACCAATAATATCTGAGGAATTTACTGCACAGATATGTCTCTACATCTGTGTGTAAGAAACTTCTAAGACTATTCTCTAAGTTTTCTCTAAGTTTTGCCCCGTGAGCATATTGAATGGAATGAGGGTTACTTAACACCTAGGTTAGCCTTTTAAAGGCCATTTTTGTCACAACCTGCAAGATTTCTAAAAGACCATTTTCATTAACAGAAATTAAAGAGCTGTGACACTGCGTTTCTGGACCTGCAGAACAAACTATATTCTTGTTACTAAATTGAATATTTCCAGGAAAAGTGTATGCTTTCTTATACTTACAGAAATGCTTGACCCTCATCATTTACCACTAAGTTAATTAAAAGAGTAGCAGATTGATTTTTGCGGTCACTCATAAAGCTTAGAGATTCCCAGTTGTGTGTCCTTCAGCGCACTAAGAAACCAAATGAAATTATCAAAGGTTTTCTCAAAAAAAGGCTTAGATGTTATTTCAAAAAGCTGGGGAAGCTTAATAAAGCCACTGTGGTTACAGAGAAGCTCAGAGAAGTTCCAAACTGTAATCCAGAAATTTCAGCATTTATTAAAAAAAGAAGCAGAAGAGTGGGAAATAGTTTGCTCAGTCTTTGCTGAAAAAGACCAAGAAGGGTGCTGAGGTGAGATGAGAGATCTTCACAAGTATTATAAGGTTGGTGGAAGCTTTGACTTGGAAGGTTTATAGCGTTTGCCCTATTACAGGGTCTGTTACAGTAATCTAGTAAAACACACATGCATTCAATTGAGGTTTCCTGGTACAATGTGCCATGGAAAATGTAAGCCAGTCATATTCATAAATGCACATACGCTAAGCTTTTCCTGGGAGCATGTTCATTTTTTACATTGGTAAAAGCTCCTGCTCACTAACTTTCTCAAGAAACAACTTAGTGACTTTTACACACATTTGCACTTATCGTAGCTCAGTGATTAGACTAGTCTCAGCGAACTTCCTCATTGTAGAATTTGACTCTACCTACCTGGGTTGGCACTTTACTACTCTCCCGGACTGTCTAAAAGGTCAAGTCAAGGGTCTGGGGGAATCTCTGAAGTACGTATTAGTATACTAGTGTTTTATATTGAAAAAAGTCTGTACACTAGGCTGTACATATATCTAGAGACAGAATTAAGCGGGCTTTGTCATTTCCAGGTTGAGAAATGCTGCAGTAATGACTTTTTCAGTAGGGTGGGTCATACAGCTCTCCCAGTGGCACAGCAGGGCTATTGAACACCTCCTTTCTCCTATGCCTAGTCCTACCCTCCATACACAGCAGATTTGCAGGCCAATTCTAGACTTCATACTTCCCAGGACAATGAGATTTACTGCACTTGAAGAGAAGAGACGGTACTTCCTTGATACACAGGTGCTCCCTGTGTATTAAGCCTGCACAAATGGTTTTCTTCTTGCTCCTGAGATATGTGTATGGCTAAAGGGTCAGATGGGAGTAGGCTGTCGCCCCCCAAAAAATTTATGTAGTCTGACCACAGCTATCTTTTTTCCCCATGCTTCCTCAAGAGAAAGCAAATGTGTTTCTTGGGTGTATGTTCCAAGCTGGTCATATGCAGTATCACAAAGTATATGATGCAGAACGGGCTATACAGTAAATCTGGATATGGGTTGTAAACACCAAAACAACTTATCTCACCAATAGTACACAGAATTCTTGGTGTTCAAAAGGCCATCGTTACAAAAAAAGTGAGTCGAGGAGTACACCCCACTTCAGAGGAACTATCCTGTTCAATAGCAAACATGACACCCTTGACTTAATCCATAAACAGTTATTTTGATTTCAACAGTTCTACGAGGTGAAACTTAACTTCTAAGGAAGGTAGCATTTATTCCATTAGATTCTTCACGATATAAAATATAGTTTCATTTCTTCTCTAGGCACAGAAGTATAGCATCAATGTAATTACCCCCCTCAAAAAAGCAAAACTGATATTCCAAGGTTCAGCTACTACTATTCCGTTTTGCATACTAAGTTTTAGCTCCATATATTTAAGAATTGGTACTGCAAACCCTTCATTGTGGCACAGAAAAGCAGAAGTTGATAATTTACTGCTATTAAAATAATTAATTTCTGTCTCTTTCGATATTATTGTAGCATTAGAAATCTTAGAATAAGATGTGAAAGCACGTGAATCGCATTTTAATCCATGTGAGTTTCAAGCCTCAAAAATCTCCTGATAGTCATTATTTCAGGAAAAAAAATGATGCAGTTTATTCCACCAGCATAATCATTTCCCAAACATTCCTCCACTGGTGGAACAGGATAAATATCTAAAAATATGCATGTGTGTCTTTTCCTTCCAGTGATGCAAATATGTCATCAACTGTATTATTCACTGAGGATGGCCCGTTTGTCAACATCACCGAAGCAGCTAACCACAGCCTAATATTTACAAAAAGGTGGGTAGAGTGAGGTTTCTTCCTCATACAAAGGGTAACTTAAAGTATGGTGGTGATGATTTATACACTAATTTCTAGCTCAAGTTTATCTGAGAGGTAACATGATTCTGTATAAGGTCAGGACAATAAACATATCTAGGTTTTATTCTCTGTCTGTTGCTGAATCCTGTGTAACATTGGGCAACTCACTCTTCCCCCTTCCATTCTTGTCCACCTATTGCAAATTTAAAAGGAGAGACATGCTTGTTACATTTTTAGCTAGCATTCAGTACAATCTTAAGTGAAGTCTTTATACATTTGCTGTGGAAACAATAAATACTGCTATTTCACAAAACTATCTAGAAATCTCTAAATTATGAATATAGAATATAGTAAAAGACTTAAAATGAAGTGGCATTCACCCATGGTTATATAGTAGTTATCACACTAGGTTCTCTCTGTAATCAGTAGAGAAAAATAAGCACTCCAAATTGTAATCCATCAAGGCATCTCTTGAAATATGATAAGTCACACTCCATAATCCATTGACTTTATTGATACAGATTTAGGACTAAGTGTCCTAAAGATAGATGCAGACAGGTATCTACATTTAGACAAATTAAGTCCCACTCAAAAATGACTTCTGGATTTGTCTCCACATTTAGAAGTGAATCATTAGATGAGATGATCCTCGGAATACATTTGATTATATTCTAATCTCTCTCAGTCTAAAGAACAGCTGAAGTGATTCTGAAGGGTCCTACAAACTGGTAGAGTTTCTTGTAGATTAAACAAAAATGTAGCGTTAGCACAGGATTATATTCTCAGGAAATTCTGGGATTTACAGTACTCCTCCAAAAGGAGAAAGGCTTGCCATCATCAAATAGAAACAAATATATAATGATTTCAATTACTGTCTTTCTGCTTATAAGAGGGCTTATTATACATATTTTCCTGGAATTCTACCAAAAGCACTGAGGCAGAAAATTACTGTCTAATTGCTAAAATGCTGCAACCATGTTGAGGATGGCAAAAGTCCATGTTCTTTCAGGTTTCCTTTATAAACATACCACATAGTAAGAAAGCAGGGCTATTGAACACCTCCTTTCTCCTATACCAACTTCTTAACTTGCTATGCTGTATTCTATCTACAGTTTAAAAAAAAAAAAAAGATACATTTTATGTTCTAATTATACTCTGTTAATCCCAAACATTTATCATTCTCACTGGTGGTGAAAGTATCTTAAACTAATGGAATATCATTGCAAGCTATTTTTCTTTTTTTCTTGAGTGGATGTAGCACTTGTCACATTGCCAGCAATGCAAACCAGCATTGCCACAAGAGATCTTAAACAGCAGTAATGATTTAAAGATGTCTTCTGTTAGTATCTATTAAACACTAAAAAGAGATTAATGAAGGAGGAAATGGAATAAGTTCATTCATCTTAGTTGTATTTCTGTTGCAGAAATAGGCATCTTCTACCATGTTTCATCTGGGCAGCTGATAGGAATCATTTTACAGGGTGACACCATTACAGATTCGCACACTTTTTTTGTACATATAATGAATGATAGAAAGATCACAGAGATTTGATAATTAAAAAAACTAAATTCATTAACTGGTAATCAAATTATAAAATGTATTTCTCACATCATCTTTGGTCTTTATTCAAGTGTGACTACCATTGAAGCAAAGGAGGGCACATACAGTAGGACTTGAAAGCTGTGGTGGCAGAGACAGCAAAACTGTTCTCTGATGCCCTTAGGTAATATATTTCTTGGCAGCATAGCTTTGTAACAGGGCAAAATCCTGCCTTGAAGCTATATGTGAGCAGATTCCACAGGCATAATTGCTTTTGCCAGTCCTAAGTGAAGATCGTACTCACAGATGTCCCAACTACTCCAGATTTCTGCCCAGCATGCTACTTCATGGACGACACTCAGACAGGCACGTAGGATGGGTATTCAGCACATGCAATGCCTCTGTTGCCTTTTGGACTCTCCTGTGCCGACCCAGAGGCAGCTGAGGACTGGTGAATTGAAGTGCAGGCAAGGAAGTTGTTTTCATACTGTGAGACAGCTTCAGAAAGAAGAAAAAGCAGAGGTCCATGAAGTAATTTCTACTAAAGCAATCCGTAGATACTGGTGGTGGGACAAAGACCCTTGTTACATGCGACTCCCTGCTTCAATGTAAAAAAATAGGGACAAATGTGACATGTTGGATGTTAGTTCAGCTAGTTTATGCATCTACCTTGGAGAAAGCGTAGGACCAGATAAGGGAGCTAATATACAGTACCACTGACCACCCTTTTAAAGCCTATGGAGGGAGCTTGGTCAAGAATATTTAGTTGCTATGAAGTTTATGCAGAAGATGATATCGGTTTCCCGTGGGTTTATGCATTTCTGGTTGTCCTCCTTAATGTTTGTTTTACTACCAGGGGACACTCTTATGAAGTCAATACAGATTTGAATACAAATTACAGAATTTGGTTTCCACTTCTTGAATTACAGCTTCAAAATTATGCATCTATGTTGAAGCGGAAAATGGCTATGTGAGACTATTCAGGGCTGGAAGCATATCTCATTCTTACCCCCTCTGTAGGGAAGATTTCACTGGGGAGGTGGGGGTGGTTACACTCCCACTTGCCCTTCTTGCACCACTATGCCATTCCGAAAATGCTGGGTCACGTCATGCATTATTTCCCTCACAACAGATACCAAATTTTAGAGCAAACATAGGGAGGGATACATAGTACCTTATCACATTTAAAGTATCCTTCCCTTTTTCTATTCAAAAATGATGTGGAAGTGCATACTGTAAACTAGCCGCTGGCAGACATTTTTTTTCCTTCTGATATATTTTCTGTGTGTATCAGATTTAAATTGCTAGCACACACACTGTCCCAAGTGTTCGGATTCATTACAAGCTATGAAGATAATCCTAAACCTCTGGGTATCAGAAACGCTTGAGTAGTTTTGATCTGTGGTCTTGTGCTCTTCAGACTCTGGCTTTATATCTCTGCTAAATAATTTCTAACCCTGTATATGCAGCTATATATTTTACAGTGCATTATAATCTTAGTAAAAAGATACAGTGATATCAGACTAACCTCTTAAATTCTTTGGTCACACTGATCTCTAGTGGTAAGGTATTGAAAACATCTCAAAAGGTAGAAAAAATACTATACGCAGTTACAATTTTATTGAGAATCTGTCACAGACAGATGACTCATTTCCCTAAAACACAAGGGGAGTCTACTTTTATTTCCATAACATACACCAATGAAGTGTCCATTGAAGAGGAATACGTACATTTAATATTATATATAATACAATGTTGTATATTTATAATTAAAATATAATTAAAACATAGGACAAAATATTGTATTTAACAGTTTGATACTGATAAACTAATGTACCTATATATAAGTATATATATGCTTATATAGATTTTTTATATATGTGTGTGTGTATGTATGTATATTTGACAGTCATTTAGTGTTACCTGGTGTGCAGATACTTGTGATTTAATTGCACTTTCATTCTAGAGAACACTGTTTGAACAACCTGGTGGTTCATCTGCAATGTAACATTAAATGTAAGTACACATACCCTGGGAATATTTCACACAGAAATCAAATTGTTCAGTCCATAAAGCCTAATGTTTATAGTTTGAATTGAAAGGTTGGGGAATGGACTATAAAAACTATACTCATAATGATATAAACACAGGAAAATTTACAGTCTTCACTTGTTTTCAGAGTTAAGTATACACTAGGGATGGGTCTATACTGAAAACAGATATATAAAAAAATCCAGAAGTTGTGAGGAAAGAACACATCTAAATCCAAGTTATAAAGTTGCATCTTGATTTCAGCTATAAAACACCAAAATTTTTTCCACAGTAATAGTATTTCTGAATAGCAGTTCAGACACTACAAAGCCTATTTTTCCAAGAATATTAGCTAGTCTAATAAAACATGCTATATCCCCCTAAAAATCTACAATTTGTTTTGTTTTGGTTTGGTTTGGGTTTTTTTAGCTTGTGGAAAACACCTGGTGACTCAGAACAATGGAACAAGGATTGTAGGTGGAAGTGATGCCAGAAGAGAGGCTTGGCCTTGGATAGTTTCACTCCATTTTAATTCCAGACCTGTTTGTGGAGCTTCCCTTGTCAGTGATGAATGGCTGGTGACAGCAGCACACTGTGTATATGGGTAATGTTCATTGCACTCAGGAGCTAACACATTCTGATACTCCCACAACATGCAAGTATCCAAGCGGTGGATAGTTGTCAGTAAAGCTGGGTTGAAGTACGACCTGAGCCATTGATCAGTCCTGCACAGAGCAAAACACACTTTCAAAGGCTCATGCTGAAATCACTGGGGAGTGGCACTTTTTAGAGCGTTTCTAGACGTTTACTTTAGAATGAAATTAATATAAATTCACAAGTGCCTCTTTCTCTCCACTGACTCCAGGGCATCCTTCCAATGAGCTGAGATGGCCATATGGCATCCATGCCGTGTCTTTTCTTTTTTATTTTAATGACGATGAAACACTTGCTTTATGTGCAGGTTCACTAAGGAGGCATCAGATTATGAATAATTTGTGACACTGATATAAAAAATTAACAACTAGCTCACTGTTTAATTACTGTGTTTTGAATCACTTGTAGGCTCAGCTAAAGGCTCCTTTACTTTCTGGTAAACCCTCAGTCCTTACTTTAAAGCAGAGAATCATGGAGACTAAGCAGCATTTTCTGAACAATGAAGAATTGCACTTTAAATATATGGTATTAGTACTGAGCATTTGCACTTAACCCGTAATTAATGTGGGCCTCCATTAATTAGTTGAATCTCTGCCAGTGGTATAAAGGATGACATCATACCTCATAAAGGTAAACTCAGTGTTCCTCCTGTATATTACCATAGATGGATCAAGATTTACTGTGCATCATTGGAATGAATCTTGATTTATGTGCATTGATTAGGCAATATTGGATATCCTCTAGATGATGTTATTTGTACCATTCAAAGAAGTGATGCATATTTAAATACTTTCTAGGGTTCGCTTCCATAACATCTATAATAAAAACAAGTGCTGTAGAAGACACCTAGAAATTGGAATGGCAAAAAAAGAAACATTAATCTTCAAAATTACAGTAGAGCTTTCATTACAGTAGGGTAAGGCAGTGGCGACTATGCCAATGCTGCCTCATTGCACGACAGGAGCTATATTCCACACAAAGACACACTGAAATAAAAAGGATCAAGCCCTCTTAGTTTTCACACAATAAATCCACACCTGGCACGGTACTTCCTTTTCACTTAAATCACCTTTCTATTTTCACTTAAATCTCATTTCATCATCTTGACTTTGCTGGAATTTTCCTAAGTGGGAGCTTGCAATTTCACACCTTAATTCTGAACATTTAACTTAAAAGCTCCTAATTTAGAACAAGATAACCTCTTGATGTCAAACCATAAAATCAGCAGAAACCAATTCAGTACAACAATCATGCTGAAAACATATTTTTGAAACTGGTTGATTAAAAAATAGCAAATAATTCAGTTCTCTAACTTAAATACAGCCTCAAACCAGCATGTGTAGCTCAGCAAAAAATGCAGAGTATGTCATATTTTGTCTTAGCATATCTTTTTTATTTAGATTAAAAAATTAAAGACCAATTTTCTGAGTCTATGAGCTGCAGCATTTCCAATGACACTTTAGACCTACTATTCTTTAGATATTCCATGATAATTTTCTAACTGGGACCAATATTAATTGCCTGGTGGGCAGTCAGCAGTATTCTTCACAGTGTTTAAAAAGCCATAGTGATTTAGTTAATGTATTTTCCTCCTCTGCACTACTGTGATTAATTCTTTATAAATAATGCATTATAAGCTTAACATAAAAAATCAACCACATATTTATACAGTGTGGATGCTTAAGATAGTATTAGTATCACAAAATTATAAGCACATGTGCTACATTCTATTTATTTTGACAAAATGTGCAAATGCTATGAATTACCATGAGGTTAAAGATTAGCATTTTACCTAACGTATTTTTCAAAACCTTCATTAATCATTCATAATTGTGAATATTCCTTGCAACTTCTAGGAGGCAACTAAAACCATCTCGATGGAAAGCAGTTCTTGGCTTGTATGACCAATCAGATATGACACAGCCTTCAACAGTAGTTCGAAACATCGATCAAATAGTTATAAATCCTCATTACATGAAGCGTACAAAAGATAGTGATATTGCTCTCATGCACCTTCAATACAAAGTGCAATACACAGGTGAGTTGTTATTTTTCCTATAAAACAGATTTACTCTATTATGCAAAACTCTAAGTGCTATAGGTGTTAAGCATATGAGGGTGATGGGGTGGCTGTACATTTTTTACAACCTAGTCATTCTGGAGTCAGTCCAGTACTTCCTGGATACCTTGCCCAAAAAGTCGGTTTGAATTAACAAACATTTTCTTATGTGACTTCATAAAAACCTGAATACAGGGAAGAGGTTGAAATTGATTGCTTGTTTCTCATTCACAGATTGCATGCAACCTATCTGCTTACCGGAAAAAAATCAACAGTTTTTACCAGGAATTAACTGCTCCATTGCTGGCTGGGGTAGTATTATGAACGAAGGTGGGTCATCTGCTTGGAAAATTATGACAGGCATGAAGCCGTGAGGGAAAGCTCGCTCCTGATTCCACAGGGGTTGCTAAGGTCGAATAGTTTAGAGAGGTACTCCTCCATATGAAAATTTGGGGATTATCCCCCTCCACTGTTCCTTCTCTAAAGCAAAGTAATAGAGTTATATTTATTAGAAAAAATATAAATATCTAAGATCATTAAATTATGAAAAACCTTATTGCATCCCCTTAGAAGTTATGATGACTACTTTTCTTAGTATGAAATACGTACATTCTATTTCCAGATATTGGGTGGGGGAGGAGGAGGATTAGTCTTCCTGACAATGTGCAAATGATTTTCCCCAGAAGTCAAGCATACTGACTGTAGTGTGAAATGACTGTTCTGTTTGTACATCATGTGCTCCAGATTTGGAGTCTTTGCGAAATAATAAACATACCATTTCACTTCCACAGTTGCTTGTAGGCATTTCCTTCTACATTTTCAGAATAAAATTGCATTTAAAATTTTGGGTAGGAATTAGTAACAGAATTTTTTATACAAACTTTAAATAGTCAGTCGAAGTTACACAATGAATAGTGAGGAAACATTGGACAATCCAAGCTCCGAAGCCCTTAATTATCCCTTAGATCTCCCCACAGTGAGTTCACAGTCATTGATTTTAGTAATCTTGATTTAATTATAACCAAATTCAGTCCCCTTACACAAATGAAAGACAGGATTCAGTTAATGAGCACCGTTTAATCAGTGACTGTGTTACAGGGGTATAAGCCTGAACAATACAGTGGTGAGGCAGGGCTTCCTGCTGCTCTGTAGCGTGCCCAGCATGCTGGAACAGGAACAAAACCATCGGTGTTCCAGGCGGGATGTACGTAGTTATTACAGCAGGTAAACGTACTTTGTATTTTCGTCAGGTCCCACTTCAGATATATTGCAAGAAGCAGAGGTCCCTCTCATTTCAAATGAAAAATGCCAACAACAGATGCCAGAATATAGTATTACTGAGAATATGATCTGTGCGGGATATGACATAGGAGGAGTAGATTCCTGTCAGGTAAGTACAAGCAACTCATTTCCACTGCTAGCATACACATCTAATTACTGAATAAAATGCTCCCTGATCCTCCAATCATTAAAACCGGGACAATCACTGTCCATGAATGTAATTTCTACTCACAGTATTTTGCCCATTTAATACTTTATCAGGATACAAGTTGAAAATATAAAAACCTATTTTGTATCGTATTGACATAGACAACTATGGAGGGAGATAAATACGAGGACTGGAAATTTTCTGCACTAAGCTTTGAATAATTACTGCTGAGTAATTCCATGAAGGCAAGAGGGACTTGCTTAGGGAAAAGCAGAGTGCGGAGAAATAAATACCAAATAGATTGAAGTCTCAGAAATGCTTCATGCAGGGCAAGAGAGAGACCAATGATGCTTTTCCCCAGAATCTGTAGACTCTGGAGTAAGTGGATACGCAGTATTTTGGAGAGGCTGCCTTTCTGCATTGATCTCATATACTTCTTCCTGGGGATCTAGTTTTTATCCATTCCAGCTCTGCTTATGACATACTGCTTCTCTTTGAGGACGTAGTCAGAGTTGGCTGTCACATAATTTTTCTTTCAGCAATATGGAGTCTATGGCATGGAGACTGGCGGGTTCTCCTCAAGTCTGATGAGGAGCACTCTCACGTAATTGCTCTTGCCTTGCCCTCACAACCTAAGCCTTCATCAGGTGCAGTGACTTTGGCTAGTTTAGTCTAGAAGGATGAGTGAATGCAAGTCTAATCTCACTTGCCACCCCTTCAGCCTCTGTGACTTTCCGTTTTCCTTTTTGCCTTCTGAACCTCATACTGAAAAAAAAGCAGTGTAGCACCATAGTCTGATACAGAGTACGAGTGACCAGTGTTGTGATCAATGACCATTCATCCATGAGCAAAGACGAACAAGTGAGTCCTAATAGTGCTTCAGCCTTTAGGCTGCTGTCACAGTCTTTGAACTTTTGCGGATGCCCTAGAGTTATGGACAGGAGTATTTTAATGGCCGAGTCCTTGCAGAACTCTCCCATAAAGCTCCATTCACAGGGCGTGAGAAGACAAAAATAATACTGGTTCAACTAACTCGATAGACAAAGAAGAACAGTAATTGTTTTCTCTCTCATCAAAACAAGACACTCATGGCTGACTCACCCGTCAGTCAGGCTGTGGGATGAATCAAATTTGGTCTCCCACACTCTGTTGCAATGCTACATCTGCTAAACTATTGAGAAGGAAGTGTGAGAAAAGGACACCTCCTCTTCCGGCAACCTTGCCATCTTTTTCCCTAAATTTGAAATTAGGGACTGAAAATAGAACTGCATTTTTGCTGAATAGATTCAACTAAAAAATAATCCTACACATTTATCCAGGCTTTCTGAAAGATGAAGGGCTAAACGTAAAAGTAATAAGCAAAAAACAAATCATTTGAAACCCAGTCCTGTATTGAAAGATTGATAAGAGCTTAAGATCACATCCTTTAAAAAAAAACAAAGAAAAAAAGGAAATGGATTATCTCAAGAATTTTTCCGCATGGAAGAATTCATATTGATCTCACTTCTGGTGCCCAAGACATATAGGGATACAGTGTCTATGATTAAGGATCAACACAAACAAAATACCATAAACAGGCTCTGCTTCAGAGTTGACACTGTTGACTTTTAACTTTTGAATTTCATATTGCAGGGAGATTCAGGTGGCCCTCTGACATTTGAGGATGGTAACAAGTGGTTTTTGGTTGGCGTAACATCATTCGGCTATGAGTGTGCACTTCCCAAACGACCAGGAGTGTATGTTCGAGTCACCATGTTTGTGGACTGGATCAGAAACATCATCTATTAGCTTGATATTTTTTAATGACAGAAATAGAATTTAAAAGTAAGCTTTGAAAGTAAGCCATTGTATAATGATGTAAACCATAGTGGCGTTTGAGAAACTGAATATATATTTAGAGAAACTGAATATATATTTAAATATATATAGAGAAACTGAATATATATTTAAATTTTGGGGCGGAAAATATTAATGAGAACTCCATTACCAATTGAGAGCAATATTTCAAAATAGGTTCTGTGGTTTTGTTAATAAATAGTTTCATCATTTTACTTTTTCTTTTACATGAGACCATGGGGAAACAGTTTCTTTGAACACCAGTGCATTAAATGGATAGTGGAGGGCTTTACAAACCATAGGCAGTAAAAAAAAAAAGTTTGTAAACTGCAAATGCTTTATTGAAAAATGGTCCAAATTATTACTTTCAGGCCAAACGTTACCTGGTTTTATGTTTTTACACTGTATTTTCCAACGTGCATTTTCATTTCAATGCATAGTCAACTCTTCTCAGTAATCTCACCACGTATCAAAATGAAGGTATATGTTATCTGTTTTAACTGTGCTCATGGGAGTTCTTCTGTCTTGTCTATTACAAAAAGCTCTGGAATGAGGTTTATGGATTGTGCATACAGGCTGACCATGTATCATGCTGCTTTCTAATGAATAAACTGAATGTAAGCCAAAAGCTCTCTCTCGTGTAATTCGTTTGGAACTAATAGAGTTAAATAAGGATTGAGTATAGCGTTTTAGTTTTCTTTTTAGGCAAGTGTTTTGGCAATTATTCAAGCAATTATAGATAGGTGCTTGCGTACACCCAAGCACAGACTCACAATACTGCAACTTCCTCTCATAAAAATTAATGTTTTTTAAAAACATCTGACAATAATGAGTATCAGCTATTCCTGGCAAATAAAAAGCAATAGGGTTCCTTTGATATATTTCATGCTTTTTCTGTACTGGTGACTTTCAATACTGATTTTGTGCTTTGTATAAAAACTATCACGATGGGCCATTACAGCACTCTAAAGGGGAAAGAATATGAAGAAAAAAAAAGGGGGTTTTATCTTCTTGAGCTCTTTTCTAAATAGGTTTCTATTAAAATATAATTATCTATTTGTTGAAATGCCTTAAATTCAATGGTGTCTTAATGTTAGTGTAATACGATGCATTTCCTTTATTTCTGTTTTCAGCCTAGTGTAGGAATTTAATATATTTTTAATTCCAAAGTACTGCATGAACATACAAAATGCATTCTAACTTACTGTGTATGTGTATCTACACATATACACAAAGATGTATGATTTTTGTAAGGAACTCCCACACTTGGCGCTTACAGCGCTAAATGCAGATGTGAAGTGCTCAAAATACAAGGCTAGCTTACAAACACAGGTTGGCAGTCACTGATAAAAAATATCAAGTCCCAGAGAGTTTTCAGGGCTTCATAAGCATTAGAGGACTAGGTCCAGACCAAAATGTTTAGCTTTATCAATACATCTGTGACCACAAGGAACACAGACAGATGTAATTAAGCCAGAGAGAAGATAAAAGGTGTTTTAGACGCCTTCTTGCATATAAGCCACACAGTTTTTAACGTTAGAATGTTAAAGTTGCAAATACTATCTTTCGTAGTGGACTACTGTTTCTCCTGTTACTCTCCTTCACTTGAAAACAGCCACTGAAAATAAAGTGCATTCTGCTATCAGTATAAATTGATTCGGATGGAGCAATTACATTAAAATGCTTAATTAAAATGTGACATGATTTCTGCATTATTTACCATACATCACTATCGTAAATGGTGTTTCAGTCTGTTAATGAAATACAAGAGCCAACTCAAAGCAGATCCGGTTACTAGAAAATGTGCTTCCCAGAAATACAGTAATATACTTCCATCTATGTGTTCTTTTTGCTTCCCAAAATGCAAAGCATAGATGTATTTGGAGGTATACATTAATAAACCATCCCTCAGACTAAAAAATTTCCTACTATAAACTCTGGTATAGAAACATATATGTAACATAGACTAGTATAATTAAAAATAAACATTTTCTTTCAACTCATTTATGTCTAGATAGAATTAACATAACCTTAGTCGACCACATTCTAGCCTTCATTCAGCACCCATTACTTCATTTGCCTGCATATTAACCTGTGGAGAAACCAGTCGTTACCATGTTAAAAAGGTGGGCAGAATGGATTATTTTCAATTGAGTCACAGGTCCAAGATGCTTTGAAATAGGCGGTGGAAGCTTGATGCTGACTTACGCTTGCTTGCATCCAAAGAAGTTTAAAAGATTAAAGAAGGAAACAAGACCTTTCTCTCTCAGACGCTTCTTGCTTGCAAAAGGCCAAGATCACTATGGAAAAAAAGAAAAATTATATTCCCTGGGGAAAATAGGGGCGGTGGGAGTATAATGTTTTTAACATGCCAAACTGAAGCCATGCCATCCATCTGAGGACTAGCCAAGGTTTACTGTTCATCCTTCAGTTCCTTGCCTCACTTACTGGTGCCATTTGGAAGAGATTTAGAGAGGCAGTGAGCAGAAGGGAATGTGGTCACCGCGAGGGGAGCCCATAGCGGTACGTAAAAGCCAACAAGCTTATTCAGAGTGGCTCTAGTTAATGAAATCTGTCACCCGAAATTGGAAATCGTTTTCCTTTCTCCATTCTGTAGAGTTTAATGTGAATATGAAGGACAAGAGAGGGTTGGGGGTTTTGTTGTTGGGGGTTTTTTTATTTTCTTTTTAAATAGCAATTCTGTTGCCACTAATGGACCATGTCACGTAAATACCTGTTGTTGTTATTCTGGAAGCCCCAGCGAAACCCAAAGGAAATACCAGCATAAAGTCTAATTTCGAGGTATTCTCTCCAGAAGTGTGAAACACACCTATCTTTCCCCCTTTCCTCTTTTACCCTTACTCCTGTCTCCCTTTTGTGTGTGGAAATAAGGGAAATAAAGATGAAAGAATTTGTGCATGTATGGGATTTGTATGTTTTGCATGGAGTAGAATCACCTACTTAAAGGTGGAAGTCGTAAGGCTGTAAGTTTGATCTGAGCACTGTTTGCAGTCTTCTACATAGGATCTTAAGATTGTTTAGATTTTACCTGGTATCTAGGAACAACATCCTAAGCGAAGGAAATACATGGAAGGAGACTATTTCCCTCCCCTAAGCAGGTGATACGATACGGAAATATTTTGTCCCAGTAATCAATAGTTCTTATTTACATAAGAATCTGAGTTCATTATAATAAAAGCATCGCGTGCCGCTTTCCATTCTTCCTTCATACAGAGTTTAAGACTGGTCCATGCTGATAACTGCCCAGCAATCGCCTTCACCCTGTAAGAAAGACATCTGAAGGTATTTGCATTCTCCTAATTGCTGCATGGAAATGACTTCTGTCACTTCTGCTGCATTAATCAGAATATCGATTGCTACCCCTTTACATGTCCTTTGGAAGCACAACGTATCAAGAAATAGTTTTATCACTCTCCCTCCTTCCCTATTTTCTTTGGGGAGTTAATCCTTCAAGACCATTAAAAAAACGTTTTTTACTGCAACTGTTCCCAGGAAAGACGAGTCTCTTGCCCTCAGTTGAGTTAAGCAATACTTGAGTCAGGAGAAAAACAATTCTGGTCTTGGTGATCATGCAGGATCATAGTATTTTCTCTCTATTTACAATCGCTACAAAGGAAATTGAAGTAAGGGATTGAGCAAAGAAGGAAGTTGTGGCTGACTGGAAAAACTACAGAATATTGTAAGTGGGAATAGCAATGCTTAACCTGGACTACGGAAGAAGGCTTCTTCAAAGAGGAAATAAAAACATGGCATAAGAGCAACTTTAAGATGCTTCCAAAAGTGCTTCAGCAATAGCATTGCACAGTTAGTATTAGTGGTATTGAACTTCAATTTTTTTTTTCTTCCTTGACTCAGAAAAATTGATACGCATTTGTCTCTGAAGTTCAAAGCTGTGGTCAACATCAGCTAGCACAGTGTAGGCAACCCAAAGAGTAATATGCTTTTGCTTCTGTCCAGCTCTCCCCAACTTTCACCCAGCCATAGTTTTGCATCTGTGTTAATGGAAAGCCAAGTAGCTTGAATTCATGCTCTTGAACTCCTGCTGCAACTGCAGAAAAACCCATCAACTATCTGCTACAGCACCAGACTGTCACCAACAAATCAGCCAGAGTGCTACTGCTGCCACTCCGAGATCTACTCCTAATGACTGGCAGCACCATTCTTATGGTAAGAAAGCTCTTAAGGAACCAAAGAGAATGGACGTTAATGATGTTAATAATAACTCTAAAAGAAGATTTTAAAAGCATCAAGGTTACCTCTAAATCTGTCTACCAATTAACATAATTAGCGCTTTTCTAGCTAATAGTCTGAGTAATGTCAGGATCAATCTATTAGTTCCACTTCCAAGAAAAGCCATCTGTCTTCTCTTTGATCCAACATTACATTATTCCTAACAAACTATTAGCTATATTCAAATTATCTTTAATGTCTTTTTTACATAGATTTCCTGAAACAAGTAATTTTAATCTTAAACTCTTGCCCATTGTGATATTATTTTTTTTCCTCAGAAAAAGTAAAAAACATTTTACTTAAATAACAACTAATGGCTGCCTTCAGAGGACACCTCATTAATGAGGTATCACTTGCCAAGTGATTTACGTTGACCTTGGACCAATATGTCAAAAAGTTATGGTCATTCCCTGGCAACGTGGATTCATTACATGACAGCAGATGACTTTTATGAATCCTTGAATTTTGCCACATCAGATCAATGTCACAACATGGTGGCTATCTCTGCTAGTGACCATGTTAATATGTAATAAAATAATTTGTGTGCCTGAGGATCAAAAACTGTGTTAAGTGTGCAAATAAATACTAAACAAATATTTTGTATCAAACATTTATGCAAAGATAAATAATTGTTACACTGTAAAATTATCAGTTCCATTTACAGTACATCAACTACGTTACAATGCACGAGAGACTAAAGGAAACAAAGAGGGTTTGTTTAACTACAAACAATCTTAAAACTGATATACATTGTAGATATTTCCCCATAAAAACTTCAAACGCTCTGTTCATTTCATTGCTCACAACTAGCTAACTTACATCTCTTAGCAAAATAAACACATACCCTTTATTTAGCATGGCATATTTTGTTACTGAATTAATAATCAAACATTATATAAAAATGATTTGAACATTTGCCTCAAGGGGGAGCTTAGAGTTCATTCTTGTAGATCCTTTGCATTTTCAAGCCATTCCAAGCTAATGTTCTTTGACGACATTATAATACAGCCTGACTGCAAAATGTTATTTTTGCTTTGTTTTCAGTCAGTAAATCATTATACCTCCATGCTGCTGTCCTTCCTAGGCGTCTTTGAAATCCATAGTGTGGACTGGTTCGGACTGGTTTTTGTTCTTCCTTTACTGAAAAATAAAAATATAAACTATTTTCAGTGCATGTGTGCCTTTGCAGTCCTGATTCAGGTTTGTGATCAGACCTGGATATTTCATCCCCTATTTGAAGGCCATCTTTGTTGCTTTCATAGCATAGGTTCCCCACCCACAAGAGGGTCGTGCCCATGCTGCACCAAGCATAGCACCGCAGCAGTGGGTCGAGGTAAGCAACTGTTACCAAAGTTACCAGACCACCCTGCTTAGCAGTGCTCCTCCCAGGAGCTGAACTGACTTGGCCCGTATTTATTTTATTTATTTTTTTTTTCCAGTTCACATTCAACCACACCTACTCATACAGCGAGGTCCTTTCAGAGATGGGTGTGGACACTGTTTGGCCAGGGTGGTGGGAGGCTGGGAGCTTCCCTTCTCTGGGGGAACGTATGGGGGACGGGAGCACAGACGCCCCCGCACCCAAGACCAAGGTGCTCAGGGTGCAGCCCACCCGCCCCGGGGGACTACCACAACCCTGCCCACGCACATCCTGGAGCTGCACCCCCGTGACCACGGTACACTAATGGGTGCCAGTGTGTACTGGTACGCCAGAAAGCCTCTTCCCTTCAGGGCTTGACCTAACTTCTAATGAAGTAATGGCACATGAATCAGACTCCTAGCAATGAATGACTGGTAGAAAGCTTCCTTAGGCCTAGTTTTCATTCAAAACTGTCAACAGTAGCTTTTGTGTTTGGGGTTTTTTTTTAATAAAAAAGGTAAAACTGGTTCCAAAAGTACTTGCTCTGCAACACTGCAAAAATGTTCGCTCTAATCTTTACAGGGAGCCCTGAGGTACCCTGTAAGTTGATGCCAGTCTTTCCACATGGCTAGCATCTCTGCTACAACTGCCACAACACCTTTCCTCACTTAGATGGCAGATGACAGTGCACTGCAGTCTACTGAAAAGAAAAGGCACCTCATGAGCCACTGCAGCTGCATTTCAATCAAAATGTTTTAGTCTCTGGCCAGAATATTTCACATTGATGTTTTTTCCCAGTTAAGTAAAAACCAGAGGAGGAGAAGTAGCCCTACGTAATTCTGTAAGTTGGAAACCTGAGAGTCAAGATCCCAACAGTCCTATACATTCAGTTTTACTCCTTTCCTGGTGTGTAAATGTAAGCGAGTCCGAGTTGATTTAAAATGTACTTTGAGGGAGCTGGACGGTACAGTAGTTTTTAGTCCCTCCAGACTTACCTCTGAAGTCCTACAAAGTAATGCATTATGTACCTGAGCCCATTGGAGTAATTGAAAAGACTCCCATTGGTTTCAGTGGACTTTAGATCAGGCCACAATGCTATAAACAAAGCAATTGCAATGAATCAAGTAGTTTCAGCACTTCTTTCTTTAAGAAACTGATTCACTACTTCCTTCTAGATTAATACAGCAAAATCAAGCATATTCTGTAAATTAATGATGAAATTATTTGAATGGAGAGTTCTTGCCACACAGCAGGAACAATTTCTAAACACCTTGGATCAGAACTTTAGCTGTTTAAAATGAGCTTATCTTCAGCGAACCTACGCTGATTTTCAACAGCTATACATCTTGTTCAGGAAATAGGTTTTAGCGAGAAAGGTAAGGAAGACGCAATAAATAGCTCGAGCATATCGCTGTTTTGACCATCAAATGCAATCATAGAAACTGAGAAATATACCAGGTTGGAATTTAAACTTTCTGCAAGGCATTCAGATGATAATGGAGATGGGTCTTTGAAGCAGTTTCTCCTTGCTTCCCTGGAAGAAATGAAAGGGAGAGCATCTAAGCATGAATGAGCTGATCATTTCTACTAGCTACAGGGAAGATGCTTTGCTTTGCCTTATTACTACCCTTTAAGAGCCCAACGTCAGGCAAAATTAGTCATGACCTTTCAAGCTAGGCATGTCCTGGTTGGCCATGGATTGTGGCTTTCAGAGGAAAGGTCACCATGTTGTGGAAGCCTAAAAAAGAATGAGAAGTCAGGTTCATTTGGGAAGTTGGGGATCCCTCCTTCCCCAGCAGGACAGAATCCCTTTCCTAAGGCTCTACAGTGTCCAGATGATCCGTTCAAGTGGTTGCCTCTTCTTTTGATTTGCTTTTTACCCAAGAACTGCGTATTTGTGATGAACCAAAATGATTTGCAAGGTAGGTCATATGTGGAAATATAACCGAAAATAGATGGGGAAACATTTTTTAAAAACAAAGTTCTGTTTCAACAGATAAAAAAGAAAATACTTCATTTTTGGTGATACCAGAATATCCGCTTTTGACTTAAATGAATTTTGAAGAAAATTTGTTTTATTTTAATTAAAAGCTATGGTGCAACCCAAAATGAACGTTCTGAAAAAAATACCTGTTTTGATTCAAATCCATTTTCTACCTGATTTTTGTATCATTTAATCTACCAAATTAATCAGCTAAGAGAAAAAGTACAATCTTCCAAGCTGAATTTCCAATATCTCTGTCATGCAATTTTTAAATCTTGGAAGTTCAGATTAATTACTTCTGGATGAACTACTATAGCATCAAAGGCCTGATCAAAGCCCACTGAAGTCAACACTACTATTTCTATTGATTTCAGTGGGCCATGAATCTCTCATTGTTTTCCCAGGAGTATCCAAGAACTGAACCTTTTCTGGGGAGAGAAAGAGCTGCCAGAAAAGGTATGAACACGTATGTCACACTTACCAAGAAATCCAGGTCCGTTGCAATAAGGGTTCCAGATTTAGATTACTTATAAAATTGCTATTGTTATACATATGATTCCTTTATTACTCTTTTTGCTTTGAGTTTCCAACCTTCTACAGCCCCAGCGCTGAGGTGTGGATACAACCTTTCACAACAATGAATTTGCCTGCCATAAGACAGCTTGGAAAGTGCACATTTTCCTTTTCTTTATAGGAAAGTGCATAACAAAAACAAATCTAGTTTATGATGCAGACCTCATAATATCTTTTCTTTATGTTCACTTGTTTCAGTGAGACACATCACTAAGGAGTGTTGCGAACATCAGTGTACACTCACTCATACAGGTATAAGCAGACTTGACATCTGGAGTGTTTTCTCACTTGAAATAAGGTACTTCAGCTATTTGCAGAAGATGCTAAATAAAAACCACCGAGAAAAAATAAAGACTAAAAGTAAGGAGGAAATTTTTTTCTGCTCATTTCCTAAAACAGTGATGTTATAT